GTTCAAACACTGACCCAGATCGCTGGATCGCTAGAAACACCGCTGTCATCAGGCTGGCAAGGGCTGTTCCATGCTCTGCTCAACCTCCCGGCGGGAGGCTCCCGCCTTCCCCAATGGACTCAGTAGCGCCCCCTGCTGCCGTGGAGCATGTGCCAGCCACGGCGGAATATTATTATACATCCATGGGAATATTACTGCCAAAAGTCACGTCACTCACTCACGTGACTTTTGGCAGTAATATTCCGACATGAGAAGAAAACGTTTTGTAGTTGTAAAAACAAGTTTTGTACTTGTAAAAAAAAGTGTTGTAGTTGTAACAAAAAATGGTGTACTTGATTTACATGATTTTTTTAGAAAAATGTTATGTGTTTGTTTGATAGATACGTTTTTTCTTTGCAAAACTAAATGCATTAGTTTGTAGATGGTGTTTTGTATTTGCAAACTATAGGTTACTTATGTAACCCCAGTTCTCAGAGTAACATGAAGTGGACATTGAAAAGAGATGTGTCCCTTTTGAAGGCACCAGTCCTCAAACACCCTCCACTTACAGTCATAGAGAGACCTGGTGGAGGAAGCTCTTGCACTCTGAATAGTGTTTAACACCTTCTGAGGGAGCCCCACTGTAGAGCAGATCCGCCCCGAGGTTCATCACTCCTGGTACGTGCGTCGCTCTCAGAGAGAGGAGACGTCCGCAGCTCCATAAGATCAGTTTGCGTGCCAGCATGTGTAACTGGAGAGAACGCAAACCCCCTTGGCGGTTTATATACGATATTGTGGTCGTGTTGTCTGTCCTCACGAGGACATGATGTCCTCTGAGAAAAGGCAGAAAGCGTTTCAGGGTGAGGAACACCGCTAAAAGCTCCAGATAATTTATGTGTGACCGTTGGAGGTCTCTGCTCCAGAGACCCCTCACAGGTCGACCTTCGTATATACCCCACCAGCCCGTCAGACATGCGTCTGTGGTGACCACCTTCCGCGATAGGACAGCACCAATAGGCACGCCCCGTACTAGAAAAGTCGGGTGTAGCCAGTGGCGCAGTGCCATTACGCATTTCATAGTGACCATCACTCTCCGCGCGCCATGACGCGCGGGGTCCAATCTGAGGGCAGCTACCCAGCGCTGAAACTCCCTCATGTGTAAGCGTCCCAGTCGTACCACCAGAATGGCTGACGCCATGAGCCCCAGCAACCGCAGACATGACCTGAAGAGAACATATTTGTGTGGCTGGAAATGAGCGAGGCAAGCCCTGAAGGCTGTAAAGGGCACCGAATTCAGGCGTAGGCCCAGGAATAGTACAGTCTGGGCTGGAGACAACATGCTCTTTTCTGTGTTTATTGCGAAACCCAGGTCATACAGGTGTTTTACGAGGACATTCGTCTGCGTAATAGCCTCTTGCTCCGACTGTGCGAGAAGGAGCCAATCGTCCAGATAAGTTGCCAGGCGAATACCCTGTTGTCTTAACGGGGCTATCGCGGCTTCCGTACACCGTACAAACACTCGCGGGCTGAGAGACAGACCGAAGGGAAGTACTCTGTACTCGTAACAGACACCCTGAAAGGCGAACCTCAGATATTTCCTGTGTGGGTAATATACTGGGATGTGGAAATACGCATCTTTCAGGTCGACTGATGTGAACCAGTCGTTTTGGCGCACGAGACGCAACAGAGATGTGTGAGTGAGCATTTTGAATTTGTATCTTTTGAGATATTTGTTCAGAGCTCTCAAATCTAGTATAGGCCGAATTCCGTTCCCTCCCCGTTTGGGAACGAGGAAATACTTGGAATAAAAGCCGCTCTGACTCTGTTTGGCGGGTATTATCGATATAGCCTTCTTTTCTAGTAGCGAGAAAATCTCTTGCTCTAGAATATGGGCCGACTCTCCCCGGGCCTGTGAATACAGAATGCCCGAGAAGTGAGGGGGGTTGACAGCGAATTGGAGCCTGTAGCCCTGTGTTACTGTCTTGAAAACCCAAGCAGAATCTGTTAGCATCCTCCACTTTTCGCTTCTCAAAGCGAGCGGAGATGTCACAGCTCTGTCGTCTGCCCTCAGTGTCTCTATTTGTTGTGTTATGGGGCCTTCTAGTATCTGAACACGGTGGTACCCCAGGTTGACAACCACTGCGCATGCGCGTGGCGGTGGTGCCTTCACAATCCCGTCTATTGTCCGCCTTTTGAGAGAGGCCGTAGCCACTCTCAAAAGAGGGGCAGACGACAGACTGTTTATTGTTTTTCTTTTCATTTTTATTGACTGCGCCCTTGGCTTCAAGCCTTGAAACGACAGTGGAAAATGATTTATTTTGAAACAACAATGATGACATGTGTTTGTGTGACTTAAACAGGCAGCGGAACTTGCTGTCTTCGATGTTAAGTCCATTTCCCTGATGGCGCGAACTTGAGGATGACGTTCTGGCATCACTCGAGGCGGCGGGAAGATGGGGGCATGGTGGCACCCCGAAAACACATGAGCATCCAACACTGGAACGTGCTCTGGAGCTGGGGAACAGGGAACTTCCAGCTCCTTCATTGAGGAGAGGAGAGGAGGCTGTCAGGCCACCCGCTTCTTCTTCCTCGCCTGGTGGCTGAAAACCTGGGTCTGCTGCGCCTGAGTGGCAGCTGCCGGAACCGGAGATTTTCTTGGCCAGCTCCCTCTTGCCTCATGCCTGGGCTGGGGACCCGGGACGGGCTGCGGTCTCTGCTGCTTTGGTATTTTGAACCGGGCAGGACGTGAGACAGCTTGAGTGAAGGCCTGCCGCGGGACCATTGGAGGTGGCGGCTGGACCCTTCGGGGGAGACAGAGCTGGAGAGCCTTGTCTCCCTTCCTTTTTGACTCGCACCTCAGCTGCATTGAAGCTAGAGCGGAGCCAAATATGCCCTCGGGAACAATAGGCATGTCCAGAACATCCTCTTTTTTCAGGTCTGGAAGCTTCGTCAGGTTGAGCCACCTGGCTCTCTCCTGTACCACCATCATTCCCAGTGCTTTGCCCGTGGCTTGGACTGCACAGCGCTGCACACGGAGGCAAATGTCCGTCATCGCTGCGATCTCGTCCCACACGGCAGGCTCAGGTTTGCTCGACATGTCTTCGCAGAGCTCCGCCTGTTAGCGGTCAGCAGCGAGGAGACGTTGAGTGCCCTGGCGGACAAAGCTGTGGCTTTATAGGCCCGTTCGGTCATCGCTGACTGGAACCAGTATGCCTTTGCCGGTAGCATGGGGTTCCTGCTCGGTGTCGAAGCCAGCCTCGGTTGGAGGTGGGCTGCCACCAGCGGTTCCATGGGTGGCATGCGGAGCAGGCCGAGCCTCTCCATACCGTCACAGTCCAGGGAGGAGGCACCCTGGATTGGGGCCTTGTTGCTAAAGGGACGGTCTCTCCACGAGACACCTCGTCCAGCATCTCCGGAAAGACTGGAAGGAGCTGCCTCTTCGTCCTCGCTGCTTGGGGCAAGTTCTTCCCCTCGTAGCGAGATTTGGAGGTCTCCTTGGCCACTTCAGGCCATGGGATGTCCAGCCTGGACGCAGCACGTTGACACACGGCCTGCAAGTCCATGCTTAGGACGGGCGAAGCTGGTGTGCTCTCGCCCGGGGGAGCGGACATCGCTCCCGGCTTTGCAGCCTGAGCCGATGAAACGAAGATGTCATCCTCATCTGAGTCAGACAGGAGGAACTCAGAGGTATCCTCTTCGTCCTCCATATAGTCCAACTCCAGGACATCCTCCGCGGCTGGAACCATGGTGAGGTCCAATTGGGAGCCCCAGCTTGACACAGCGCGGGGCTCCGCTCTCGCGGCTCTTGCCGCCACCGGGTCCCAGCCTGAAACGGCGTGGGGCTCCGGTTCAGCGGCTGTCGCTGTTGTTGAGCCCCAGTCTGACACAGCACGGGGCTCAATCTCTGCGGCGGACGCCACCATGTCTTGATTGCCGGCCGGCGAATCAGCGGACATGAGGGGGTCCTGTCCCGACAAGCTAGCTTGGCGTGCTAACCGTTGGCGGAGGCTCTTAATGGTGAAGCGGGTACAATGCCCGCACGAGCCGGGGTTATCGATAGCCTCCCGGGCGTGTTCCAGCCCGAGGCAGGACGAGCAGACCTGGTGTGAGTCTGTGCCTGAAATCTTAAACCTACAGCCGCATAGCCGAGCCTCCGAGTCCCTGACTCCTCTGGTGTGAGGGAGAGACGTGAAGACTGAAGGGTCCTTTGCCTTGTTTAAAATCTCTGCTTGGGCTCAGCCTCTGGGAAATAATTAGCATGTACATGTCATGTGCTAGAGTATTATTAAACTATTAAATTATTAAACCCACTGAGATAACTTAGGCTACAGTTTACAATCTAATCACTCAGAGTCCTTTACCTCCCTGAGCTGACGTTATCTCTCTCAGTCCCACAGGAGAGGACTCTCCCTCTCCTTATTGTTGAAACAGCTAATCTCCGTTAGCTCCGAGCTAGCACCAGATGCTAACAACAACCCTGTAACTCTCTCAGTCTCTCTTTCTCTCTCTCTCGAATCGACCAGTGGCCTTTATTTGTCATGAACAATCAACAAATCTACGAAACAATGACACCAGCCAGGCTCACCTTCATCTTTTGGGAACAGAAACATCGCCACTTCGGCAGACTTGACATTACTACAGCCAGCGGCAATGCATCGCTTCCCGTGTGTTTTTCTTCACTGTCGCCTCCATTGTCAGGTTTTCTCGATTGGCAATCACTTCCAGTCGACTCCGACACACTTTCCAGTAAAATACTCGCTCAAAAACTTTGATAAATTCGACTTTGAAACAGAGAAACAATAAACTGTGATGAATGTAAACACTTCGGCGGCGACCATCTCGTGACGTCACGCAGTAGATCGCAAGCCACGCCCACGAAGGCGGAGGTCAACTGCGGATTTCCCTGCGGCAAATTCAAAACTCGTCAAATTCGTTGCTATTCCAACATCTTTTGATATGGGTTCCAATGGACAATTTTGGTCATTACTATACGTATTAGCATAACAGATCATGCACAGGCGCACACTTCACGGGGTCTTTAATGATTAAACATTTGAAATGAACCCGGAAAATTTGCTCAAAATGTATTACACCTGAATGTAGGTATTTTAACACATATTTAGCCTTTAACAACATTGTGCTTCCTGCAATTTGAATATTGCACCAGTCCATAATGTGATTTCAATACAATGTATTCATTGTGCAACCCTAAAACTAATTTCAACACTGAAAGGCACTGAATATTCACACATTGTTATGATTTCAGACAATTGTCTTTGGATAAGCATTCCTGAGGCTCTCACGTGGTGATGCCCACCATGACCTCACTAATGTCCCACAGTTTACTGGCCACCTCCCGGTCTGTGGCCTTGTCCAGCAGAACCTGAGGCTGACAGTCAGCAAAGCACTTCCCCTGAACACCGTCCACATCTGGGCTGCAGGCCAGAAACACTGAGGTGGCCGCTCCTTCTTCAGGGCTTTTAAACAGACTCCAGGAGAGCAGGTTAAACAGCGGCTTCGCCAACAGCGGGATGTGGACGTGCCTCCCCAGGTTGGTCCTCACGATGCCTGGGGTCAGAGCGTTCACAGTCACCCCGCTGCCCTCCAGGCGGTGACCCAGCTCCAGGGTGAACAGCAGGTTGGCCAGTTTGCTGCGGCTGTAAGCGAAGGCCTTGTTGTAGCTTTGCTCGCTGTTCAGGTCCTCGAAGTCGATGTGGCCGTGCTTGTAGAGTTTGGAGGAGACCACCACGATGCGGCTGGGGGTTGAGCGTTTCAGGAGGTCCAGCAGCAGGTGGGTGAGCAGGAAGTGGCCCAGGTGGTTCACCCCGAACTGCATCTCGAAGCCGTCCTTTGTCTTGGTGTAAGGACACTGGTAGATGCCGGCGTTGTTGATGAGGACGTCTAACCGAGGCTCCTCCTGTTCAGTGGATCACAATAAAGGAGGTTATCATGTTCTGTGTCAAAGATAAAGACAGGGCTTCAGACATTTAGAACATTCCCCAGCAAATCGTCTCAGTTCAAAATAGATATATGGATAATTTATTGTTGGGAAATTATTTTGTAACAGCAGCAATGTGTTCAGGCATTACAATATTTTGTAATAGTTTAAGGTGAAAAAAAAATAAAACATTAAAACAAAATAAATAAAAGATCAAAACCATCAACAGCAGCAAGTATGCATATCTACAGTAAAAAGGACATGAACCACTAATAATATAGAATGTTCACGATAAGTTAGACTGTTCTATAAAAGACCAATACATTGTAGCAGAAACATATGTAAATATATTGGTCTTTTTTCTGCTCCTTTCTTTAAAATAAAAAAGTGTTCTTCTTTCTATGTCTTTGTATGCACCATTGTATGCAAATTCCTTATCTGTAAACCTACTTGGTAATAAAACGGATAAAATAAGACAAGTCTTATTTGAACAGAACAGCACCAAATGAGTGAGGATCTAGCAGTTCTTGGCATGAGTGCTGTATTATGAATTATGGAAATTGAGGATTTCAATCGTATTTTGTCTCTGCATTTAACTAATCCTAGTATTAAGAGCAGTGGGCAGCAATTATATGGGTACATTGGTACTTGGTTGGATAGGGACTTGAACCAGCAACCCTCCAGTTCCCTAGACAAGTGCCTACAGGCTGAGCTGCTGTCCGGGAAATAATTGAATCTGAATCCATTCAGTGATGAATAAATCAATAAATGACTGACTATTGGAAGTAATGTAAAATTATTCGTAAATTATAAAAACTGTATAAAAAAAATCTGACTGTAATCAATAAAGACACACTAATAGCAAATTCAAATATACTGAAAATGTACTTTCCTAACCAATGTAGGATGGTCTATCGGCACCTATTTTTAATAAAAAAATAATAACATAATTCCCTGTTTTTCATTAGTTTTATAAGTCAAGAGACTGGCTTATATAGTTGAAAACGTATTTAAATATGTGATATTTGCAAATATAATATATGCCGAATTAATAGTGTTTTTTTCAACAAGGGACAAAATGTTGAATTGTGTTGGATATATTCTATAATTTTTAAGATTAGCCACGTAATTCATAAAAAGTTACGTTTTTTGAATGACGTTTGGCTTGACGTTATTGTGTACAGGCACCGGGGGGGTGTCAGCTCAGTCTGGGAATCTACCTTCATTATGTCCTGACAGAAAGTGTGTACAGAAGTGAGCGAGGCGAGGTCCAGCTGTCTGACGGAGAGCAGCGAGCTGTCTGCCCCGGTCTCCTGCTGGATCTCCCGGGCTGCCTCCTCAGCACTGCTCCGGTCCCGACAGGCCATTATGACACGGCCCTTGAGCTTCACAATGCCCGCTGCCGTAGATCTCCCTATCCCGCTGTTAGCACCAGTCACTATCACGGTCTTTCCGTTCATCATGTCGAGTGATTAGCCATGTCTTCAATGTCGAGGAGGCTTGCTTGGTAGCAAATGTATGCTGGGCATTTAAACAGTGATTCGGCGCCACTCGATGAAGTAGTATGCTTGAAATAGTGGCTCTGGGGAGCAACTTTACTCGACATTGAGAAACTGCCACAGTGCGGATGTTCAGTTCCTAACAACGACAACTCGTGTTAACTACCCACAATTCATAACGGGCAACAGTTGCCTTCATGGTACCTGGTAAAGTGGCTATTCAATGAATTGACTGGGATTCGGTTGCATTATCCTTTGTTTTAACATTGTCAGTGGAAGAAGTACTCATAATGTATAGTTAGGTGAAAGTAGCAATACTAAATTGCTACTTTCACATTAAAGTAAAAAGTAACATCTTTGCTTTTAAAAGGTGAGTAGAAGCAGTGGCGACTGGTCATTAGGGCACAGCCCTACCTAGTGTCAGCAGAAAGTATTACAAATAATGATTACAAAAAAATATATAAAATATATTTTAAGATCATGTTTAATCATCTGATTCGTCTGTACATTGCTGTTTTAGTCTGTGTTCTTCTAATTAATGTCTACAGTGTGCGCCTATTGAGCTGTTTAGAGCCATGTGGGACACAACCCGATCCTGCCCCTCCCTCTCCCTCTCTAAATGAATGGTGACTGTAAAAACTACACTGCAATTAGCATGTTATGGAAATACTCAGGTCAAGTGAAGTGCCTCAACATTGTTCTGAAGTACAATGCTACTATTCAATCATTTACCTTATTCTTAATAATTGCATTGTTTTAATAAAACCCAATTGGAAACATGTAGTGGATTATTGTAAAACAAAATTAGGCTTTTTATCTGTTTTAGCTCACACAGTCTGTGAATAGTTTTTACTATTTAAATCAATAAATAAAATCCCTCAATATCTATTGAGTGTCTGTCCATCCTGGGAGAGGGATCCCTCCTCTGTTGCTCTCCCTGAGGACACGTTTTTGTTTGTGAAACTCTCAATGAACTACATCTCTTGCACAACAACACACGTCACCAAGATGGTGGGACCCCCTTGAAAACGAGATGGTGCATCTCAAGGGGTTTATCCCAATGAATACAATTTATATATATATATATATGGTCATCATCACTACTGTCTTGCTAAACAAGGGATTGACTACCCTCACTATAACCACAATGAAACACGTCCAGAAGAATGTCATGCTAAGCTGCCTGCCTGCCTTCCTTTGATTCTCTCTGAACTGCCTGGTCTTTTTAATGTTTAATGTCAACCATTTGTGCAGATAGCATGAAGTACAAAAGATCGCCGATGCTAATGTAGCGTTAGCGTTAGCATTTCTCCCCCGGGCTTAAATTGTGTATTATAGAATGATCACACCGGTGTGACAGTAGCCTACTCTTCAAAGGGTTCACGAAATATGACTACTACTCTTACTGTTTAACATTTTGGGTTACTTAATGTTACTTCATATTAAGGCTAATACAAATGACAAGGCTAAGCCGGCTGTAATGCTAACTAACGGGCTTGCTACTAGCTAGGTAGCTAACTTGATCCAGCCACTCCTGGTCCTTTCATCAGACGGGAAGCGAAAGAACGAGCAAGACCCATTGCTGGTATGATAACAACCTGGTACTAAGCACACAGGCATCTTGTTAAAGTTATCTTATCTTAGCCAGCGCCATATAGATAGATTATATCTATATGGTGCTGATCTTTGCTATCTATTAGTGGAGGAAAACAATTGTGACATCACTTACGCGACTCTGGGATTTGTAGTCTTTCTAGTTGCGTCTTATATTTCAACAGTTTTACGACAAACTGTGACTTTTTTGACATTGAAATGATTTTTTAAGATTGATAAACATCATATGTGTAATTCATGGCACAATTCAAACGGGATCGAAAGATAATCTTTCTCTCTCCATTGACTTCAATACATAATTTTTCCGAAATAAGGTCCCATGGACCGGAAGTAGATGTAGATGGGCATGACTTTGCCACTCTATACGTAATCTTACTTCTTTCTTCTCTTTCTCTGTACCTGTTGGAAGTCTTTCCTTCAACAATGTGAGGGTCCAAGGACAGAGGGTATCATATTCGTAATCTTACTTATTTCTTCTCTTTCTCTGTATACTTATGTCCCAAATATGTATGATACTAACCAGGGGCGTCGCCTGGACCTGGAAACATTCGGGGCTTAGCCCACAGTGGCGGCGCTACAGTCAAATGTTCTACTGCAAGACTCCCCACACGCACATACACAATTGCGCCATCTGGTGTCACAAACGTGTGCCTGCATTAGCTTTGTTACGGCAATGGATTGTGGGAGATTCTCATAGCACGTGAGGATCTCTTGAGGGTAAGGTGCCTGTATTATCTCAGTGGACAAAATGTATGTTTTTATTTTATTAGGACAATAACGTACTGTTGTGTTTGTTTAGTTTAATGTTAATTGTTTAATGCTCACAGTCACAGCAACATGTTTTTAGTGTGATTGGCTATTTGTTTTATATGATTTATCAACGTGATCATCAATAGCTAATCTGAGCACCAGAACCCAGCTCACGAGTCCTTTTATGCCGTCCATTTAAATGCAGGTATGCGAGTTTTATACACCAGTTTATTTATGTTTAATATTTCACATTGCTCCACATGATGCCTTGACTACAAAGTCTTCCATGTTTCTACGCTTCTTCCTCTGTGTCACAGTTTCGGCAATATCAAGATCATTGCACAGGGCCTTGGTCTTGTCATAGACCTCATGTGCTTTCTCGTTACTTTGGTAACTTTTCAGTGTGTTCTCAACTGCTGTTTTGTAATCTACAACCTGCACCAAGTCAAGTGTTTCTTTCTGCAGGTATTTGTGCAGGCCCTGAGTGGTTGAGAGCAGTGTCTGGAACATGACAGCATGTAGATGGTACTGAATTTTCAAAGCTTGCTTTCCAGTCCCTTTGCTAGAGGGGCTGAAAGGCTCCCTAAAGTCTTGATCAAAGCAGGGAGGTTTTTGACATGCCCAGCGAACAAGTTGTTTGTCCCCTACCTCTAGCTGTTTCTGAAATGTTTGCAATCTCTGATGGTGGACAAGAGATGTGGAGAAGAAAGAGTAGAGACACTCCAGGAGATCAACGCAGGTATGTGAGTTTTGTACACCAGTTTGTATAAGTTTAATGTTTCACATTGCTTGTGAAAAATATACTACAGCTATACGATCACTGATGTTTTGTTGTTGACTGGACACTTATTTTGTAAAAGAGATAGCATGAGAGGATCTCTTAAGCAATGCAGCTCACGTGTCCTTTTTATATGCTGTCCATTGAAATGCAGGAAAGTAATCACCAGCTCTGAGTGATCTGTTGACGAGGGGACACTACACCGGAGTTACATAAGCAGAGATAAAGTGCTATTTTGGGGGGAACTCACCTCCTCTGGGGTCCCCCAGGAAGACTTTTTTTAAATACTGAAGTTAAAAGCATCAATCTTGTGCACTTAGAGAGCAACATTAAGAGATATGGATACATCTCTCAACACCCATATGTCAAAAAGAAATCAAAGAATCAGAAACGGGTTTATTATTTAAAAACACTTCATTTTCCAATTAAATCATAAACTATGTCAAATTATTAGAAGTTGTTAGTAATCAGATTAAACAGAAAAAAGGGATGGAAGGAGGAAATAATAATCCCTCATCACTTGCTGTTTTTTGCGGTTGAAATTATCTCTTTTGCTAGCCAAACATGCTGGATGGAAAGCAGTGATGTTTCACTTGCCTTGGCCCTGTATCTGCAGTCCCTAAATCAGTCATGTTACTCATTGACTCTTGTCTGTTCTGGTGTTCCTGTTCATTGTTGTCTCCATTGTCGTTCTTGTCTGTTGTATCTCCTTCTTGTGTGTCCCTTTCTCCTGTTCTCCTTTCTTCATCCTCTACTCTGTTTGGCTCATCTGTGATGACTGTGTAGGTAAACACAAACAAGTATGTATCAGTTTCCAGCTCTGTCAAATAAATGAATTTCAAGATACACACTTCATTAAAATGAGTGTCACCACACTGTCACAAAATGTAATACTAACCAATTGAAAATAGTTAAATTTACATCTCTTGTAGATATCACTGTTGGAGTAGTTATCTGCCAATAGGACAGAATCATTCCTATACAAATGCAGTTTGAGTAATTCACTTAATATATTTACTTAAAACTTTAATATAGTCATTTTCACTTAATACTCTAATATAGTGATCTTTCTGCATTCAACACTAAGGAAAGCTGTACAATTTGACATGATAATGAGGAAAAAAGGCCTCCGACAATGCAGATCATTTTTTGATCATATCAATTTTAAGATGCGGGTCAAGGCTTAATATTTGGGAGCATAGTGCAGGCATGAAAATCACTCACCTTTCGGCGAAATTCGCCGTTTTGAATCCAAAATAGGTCGTTTGTGTGATTCATGTAGATCTGCAATAAAAATAGTTTTGGGGTATGGGGGGGTCTGGGACCCGGAGTAATATGCGGCCGCGAGCTGTTATGTGCCATCATGACACGCATGGTGTTCTTTTTTTATATATTATAATGCAGCGCGAGCTGTGTGCTCGAGTCTTCCTGCCTGTCGGCTCTGCTCATGGATGTATAAGAAGGCTCTGCTGCTCCGCGATGATGGTCTAGCTTCAGCAGCCACATTACCTACGGGTGCGTTCGTTAATATTAACTGTGCGGTCCGGAGTCACTGTGGTACAGACTGGACCGCTGGTGAACAGCTGTTAGAACGGGCCGTTCAGGTGTTCAGCGCAGAGCTCCCTGTCGGAGCGGCAGAGCGTGATGTGCACTGAAAAGTTTTTCTGTCGCAATATTATCGTTGAGCTAGCTAGCTAGCATACATTGTCACTATCTGCTAACGTTAGCTTTAGCCTTCGTTTTCTAATAGTTTTTTTTTCATAGGCTATAAACGGAGGTGGTATAAGTATAGAGATTGTACTTGAGTAAAAGTAGAAGTACTCAGATCTTGTACTAGAGTAAAAGTAGAAGTACTCAGATCTTGTACTTGATTAAAAGCAGAAATACTCAGATCTTGTACTTGAGTAAAAGTAGAAGTACTCAGGTCTTGTACTTGATTAAAAGCAGAAATACTCAGATCTTGTACTTGAGTAAAAGTAGAAGTACTCAGGTCTTGTACTTGAGTAAAAGTAGAAGTACCAGAGTGTAGGAATACTCTGTTAGTAAAAGTACTGCATTCAAAATGTTCCTCAAGTAAAAGTAGAAAAGTATTCTCATCAAAATATAGTGAAAGTAGCGACAGTAAAAGTAGTCGTTGTGCAGATTGGTCCATTTCAGAATAATATATATGATATGTTTTATAATGATTGATCATGAAAGTGTTCTCAAAGCTGGTAAAGGTGCAGCTAGTTTGAATGACTTTGTATACTGCAGGGTAGCTTGTGGATTTACTCCAGGTGGAACTAAAGTCTGATTTAACACTTGATTATATTTCACATCATTCATCCAGATCTGTAAAGTAACTAAAGGGATTAATACATGTAGTGGAGTCAAAGTACACCATTTACCTCTGAACTGTAGAGGAGAAGAAGAACAAAGTAGCAAAACATTGAAATACTTAAATAAAGTACAAGTATCTCAAAATTGTACCCAAGTATAGTACTTGAGTTTATGAATTTAGTTACTTTACACCAGATGCCATAAAGATAGAAAGACTAAGCCTTGCATAGAGGCATGACAATAGATTTTCAAAATGCTCAACAGCCAAAATGATAAACCGACTGCTACACAATTAAAATAAATGCTTTTATATATTTCTATTAGATGTGACTCTTTAGCGTTTCTGTTATTATTAACACTGCTGCTTTAGTTGTTTTGACTGCTAAAATCCTGTTATTCCTCATTTTAAAGCCGATATTCCGTGGGGTCGGGGGGCTCGGGTCCTTGTCACCTTTTCCATACCTGATGAGTTTGCATCCCTGATAATACTAGTAACGAGGCCATAATATTTTTGACTCATGGCTGAAGTTAAGTTTCTCCAGCTCTCCCCAGGTTGGCAAAAAAATGCATCTCAAAATGCATCAGATTGATGCTTTAAAATATGGAATATTCAACATTTTTCTTCCGGGGGAGCATGCCCCCGGACCCCCCCTAGAGGGATAATATCCTTCTCACCTTTTTCACCCCTGACCCGTTTTCATGCCTGATAGTGTCCCTTGCTCCCTTTCAGGAGCCCCACTGGATTGGCTTTGATCTGAAATATTCGTATAAAAAGCTTGTTAGCTGGCTGTCCATCTCATAATGTTCACATAGAAACTAGCTGTCAATAGGAAATATAAATCAGAAGAATTATATTTTCATGCAAAATCTGTCACAAAAATAGGTTGCACATTTAAATGAAGGTGTTGTTATGGCAACGTCAGTGGCCAGACAGCCACATTTACTGCTGCAAATACGTTCAAACATGCTGTCGACACGTAAAGCAGTGGCTACTATGCCACCATTTCAGCTGACTTTTTCTCAGAAATACTGTCACATAACATCCATATATATATTTCAGTGCTAGGTTGATGCTTAGCTAAGCTAACTATGAAACACTTTAACTGACAGGACTCAGGAATCAGGATCAACTGTGTACTACTGTAAGGTAGCTTCTATCTTCATGTCGAACACTGACAGTAAGTCAACATTTCCCAGAGACCTTTCTTTGAAATCACCAAGTAACGCTAAAAAACACAACATTTAGATTGTATGACAAAGTGTTTATTTAATATATCTGGCTAGCTATAGCTACTTGCTAACGGTTTAGCTTACCCGCGCGATTCAAAGTAACGTCAACGTAGCTATAATGTATGCTTTGCTTACATGTTCGCATAACTTGTAATTTTACTGACAGGTACATACCTTGTTCATCTGGCTCAGGTGGTGGCTCTGGGGTTGTTGTGTGAGCCACCACTTGAGAATTGCCGTCTTTTTTATTAAAGAAATGTCTAATGCCCATCTTCAGAATCTCCGCGTCCGGGGCTGACAGTTTAAAGTTTAAACATTGTCACAGAGGAGAGGTACGTACCTGTCAGCCAATAAAACACGTTTATTTCCATGCAACTCTCTGATTGGTCTGGTGGCGTCGTCTTGCCTCTGTGTTGCATTCACTGAACATGGGAAATTACAATTCTACCGTCCGTCCTATAGGTAAAGTAGGTTAATGTATTATATTATTGAGGGAGAATTTGTCCGGGGCTAAAGAAAAAACGTCCGGGGCTAAAGCCCCGGATGCCTACCCCAGGCGACGCCCCTGATACTAACCCAGCTTGCTTGGATCATTTTTTTTGTGTCTGTCACTTGGCAGTTGTCGGCATTGAGGCGTCGCCTGCTATGGAATGTCATTTAAGCCAAAATTAAATAAATAAATAAATAAATAAATAATTAAATAAATACATATATATATATAAATATGCCTATGAAATAAATTCTGAAATAAATAAATGAGGCAATAAATATGTATACATGTACATTTAAATACACATTTATTTATTTCAAGAGACTTTTATTTCATAATGACACATTTATTTATTTCAAGAGACTTTTATTTCATAATGACACATTTATTTATTTGAAGAGACTCGTATTTCATAATGACATTTATTTATTTCAGATGACTTGTATTTCATGATGAGACATTTCCATTCCTTATATGCAAATGAACGGGGCGTGGTTAGCTCACAGATCCAGACCAAAGCAACAGCACCACAACACTGACTCAATAGCTTTTGTTTCACACTCCAGTACTCTTAAGTGGTTTGCAAACTGCCAATAAACCAAACCGGTTCAAGAACCATTCTTGTGATTTTATGGTGCTTAACTGGTTATTCTCTGGTCTTATCTGGTCCGCCCAATGCTGCTCTTCTGAGAGCAACCGCTCTGACAGCTCTCTCTAATCTCTACTGGGAAACAGCTAAAAGTCCTTCTGGAGGTAAGCAACGCTACACAATTACACCCAGTCTGAGAGTAAAAGATTTCTCGAAGGTTCGTTTTGCTTCTTACAACGTTAAGTTAATGTTAACGTAACCTTAAGTTTGCTAGGAGGCTATTGTTACGAGCTAGCTGTCTTAGCTAACAACAGTTAGCAGCTAACGTTTTCTGCAGTTTGTGTTGCCCCTGAAAAACGTGATGTAGTTATTTAAGGGTATGTTAAATTAACGTTATTTTACAAGTTGAGAGAGTTAAGTTGTGTTTAAAATCGTCAATGTAATGCACGTTAGAGGTTTTTAGTTGGACATGAAGTTAGCTAACGTTAGCTAACTCTACCAGGTTAGCATGTTAAGCTGTACTTTCTGTGGCAGCTAGCTTAATACAAAGAGGGGTTTTGTGCTTCATTGCAAACTTTTCTTTGTTAATCTACCTGAAACTGTAGGGACAGTTTATTTCTACTCAACTATACAGACCATTGTTGAGGAGATGCAAAACATACTGTAGCCTACATGAGTTGGGTCCAACATATACCTTGAGTAATGTTACTTTGCTGCTAAAAATGAAACATCATTATCAGATGAGGACATCACCAAAGTGTGTGAGCCTGTCAGGGGATTTGATCTGTTCTCTGCATGTCGTAAACACTGCTCTGGTATTACTTATCTTGTACAAATGTAAGTCTCGCTCTTGTCATCGTTCAAGCTTTGCATTTGAAGTCCTATGACTTGAAGGGAACGCCTTCCTGGCCTTCCTGACATCCAGGAAAAAGGTGAGATTCTAATACATTTGAATGCCAAAAGCAAGTTATTGTTTTTAACTTTTTAAATATGATTGTTTTGGGGCATTTCAGTTTTATTGGACAGAGGCAGTAGAGATCTACTGGAAACAGTGAAGAGGGAGGAGATGATATGCAGCAAAAGGCCCAGCCGGATGGTTGCTGCTCCGTGTGGAACGTGTTCTATCAGGTAAAGTACTTTGGTACCCAGTTATTTATGGTATTGAGTTTGAATTTAGCCTTTGTAAGGTAATTTCCAACAGTGCATTGTAAAGACTGAAAGATGTAAAGCTTCACATGATTTGGTCTTTTACTTAAGAAGATGTTTGTCCTCCTGTGTTGTCTTATTTCCTTATCTTTCTTTCAGGTGTAACTTCTACTAATGGTTGTACAGAGACCTCCTCCACCTCTTTGCTGTCTTACTAGTCAATCCTTCTGATCAGGTCCTTTCCTAAATAGTGGTAAGTTTTACAGTTCAGTGTACGTTATTTTAGCAACTTAATGCTTTACCGCTGTTGAATAAACCCTATATTGCTAGTCATTTTATTAAAACTACGATTTGTAAACTTTTTGATTCCAATTACAATAATCTTTTTGTTATAATTGTAAAACATATCTTAACATCCATCAGCAATCAATACAACAAATCATCCAACACTAAATAGAAGAAATCTGGACATATTTCTTTTGATACAGCAGCATGTGTTGGGACTGCTCATTGATGTCATCAAGAGCCATTGAGTCTAGCTTTTGTAGTCGGCCTCTCAGAATGTTTATCATTTATTTGTATCTTAACATTCCTATAATCATTAGTTTTTTTATTGTTGATATTGTTTTGTTCTTTATTTTTGTTGTGAGAATCATTTTGCAATTATTGTGTAAGTGCTATATAAATAGTTATACTAATATTATTGTTGTTACTATTATTAATAATGTCTTCTTTGTTTTCTTTATTCATCGCTGCAGAAAGGATCATGCCAGCCCACATCAAACACCTGATCAAGAACTTGTGAACCTCACTGCTGCAGACACCTGTGTGATATTCCACTCTGACTGGAACCCTCAAAATGACCTGCAGGTACGATATATATATCTGCTCTGTCTGTCCTAAAGATAGTTCAATAGGGCTACAACAACAACAGTCTTTCCGTTTATTCCCTCGGTTCTTTAAGTGTATATTTTCCCATGTAATGCTTAAAGACGTTGAACAGCAGCTGCACATAATGCTCTTTTGACCCCTCTTTTAATTTTTTATTTCAGGCTCAAGCTCGGTGTCATCGTTTGGCCAGTCTAAGGCGGTGGAGGTGTACCGTCTGATCACTAGAAACTATGAGAGGGAAATGCTGGATAAAGCTAGTCTGAAGCTCGGGCTGGACCGTGCCGTCCTGCAGAGCATGAGTGGGAACAACAACGGGGTGAGAAAAAGAAAATCTGTCATATTTCTAGATGCCAAGTCATCTTTGGGTCAGTTGCTGTTGCAGTACGCTTAGTTTATTTTCAAAAAGAGTTTTCTAAATCCACTTGTGTAAATGTCTCTCTGCGTCGCTTTTAGCCGGTCCAGCAGTTCTCCAAGAAGGAGATCGAGGACCTGCTGAGGAAAGGAGCCTATGGATCATCGATGGACGAGAACGACGAAGGCAATCGCTTCTGCTAGGAGGACATCGATCAGATCCTGCAGCGAAGAGCCACCACCATCACCATCACCAGGTATGTTCTTAGCAGCACGAGCCACTTGCTCTTTGTGAGACACCAAGTACTTGGTTATTTGAAATGTAATATTGATGATGTAATAATTAAAACTAGGGATGGGTACAGAGCCCCAGTATTAACGGGGCCCCGGGGCTGAATTATTAAAGACCGTGGTACCGTTAACGTCCAACGTTATCGATCTTTTTATCGGTACTGGAGACATTTAAAAAATAGATGTCATATGTATTATATCTACATAAACATTATATCGCAGTCTTACTGTCGCCAACTCCGTTTCTAATATGCAATAAGACTACAAAGTGCGTCTATGATTTAATTTCAATCTTTCCAATCCAGACGAGAGATCTCTCTCCCCTATCGATGTGCGAGGGGGTGGGGCAGTTTACACACAGAACCTGCTACATGAACGCAACACACACACACACACACACACACACACGCACACACACACACACACACACACACACACACACACACACAAGGCGGAGAGAACAAGCGCCCCGAGCGTAGTTATGTTACCCGTCTTGATTATGGATGTATAATAAGAACTAGATACAGCGTCGGAGGAGGGGCCTCGTTCTTTCCTATGAGAGCTGCTCATTGGAGCATGAAGTCAAAATGGCCCAACTTTTGAGAGAGCGAAACGTCACAGATTACCCGTCATGCCTTGCTGTCAGAGCAGAAGAACCCGTTTGTGTGCTCACAGAGCATGCGCCCCTTAAGCCCCGCCCCCCGAGCACACACTCTCGGCTCACTAGAAAGAATGGAGAGAGAGAATAAATCTAGATTCGGCTTTTAGTGCATTTCACAACTTTAAGGACTTAATGATTCTAGGGCTATACAATAGTTCATACTGGGTCGTTTATTTAGTTTTTAAAAAATTATCCACCGAGTTACAGAGGTCTCTTTCCCAATGTTAGTCAACGGGAAAATGTATTTCTGGGCCGGTCGACGTCACAGACTGATAAGGAAATTGTAGTACCGCCGTTTGGACACAACGAATATTTTCCTCAGAGTCCGGCGCACTTCCTGGGGGCTTTGTCTTGAGGTGGAAAATGCTTGTTGCCAAAAGTGCAATAAGAGTTTAGCATGTAAGGGCGGTAAGCGGTAACACGAGCTATTTGTCTAAACATTTAACAAAAGTGCTCCACATTCAGACGGAGGAATGCACCGGGTTCGACTGTCTTTCTAGTAGCTCTGTAGCCCCATCCACGAGTAACGTTTCCACGTCAGGTGTTATGTATGCTAGCAGCAACACACGGAGTTAACTCAATGATACAAACATGGGTTAATGATTAGAGGTAACTGAGTTATTTATTTTGTTAAAGTTACAGCTATTCTGTTTGCAGTTCTATCATCACATAATTGAATACGATTTGTTAAAACATTGTTGTTTCTTATTTTCAGTTTGCTTCAAGCAGTGGCTGTACGAGAAAGACGTGGAGGACCAAGAAATGCTGGCCAGATTTGCAAAGACCGGAAGATACATAACAGAGAAGATAATGGATATTAAAAAGAAAAATAAATTTTTTTTTTATAATTTCTTTGTTGCTGTTTACATTTTGAATTATATTTGTTATTTTTAAATCAAATGCATCTATTTTAGATGATATATTTATTTAGATGCAGGTTTTTTTTGTAATATTATTGTATTAAGTATAATTTATTAAATAAAAATACTGTTATGAACACTATACAATGTCTTTATTTTGATAGTTACCAGAATACATTGTATATTTAATACTAACATAAGCTGGTGATAGATAAATGCTGGTCTGCTGGTATGCCAGCAGACAAATATTTATACAGAAAGAAACAGAAGGGAGGAAATGATGATAGCTAGACTCAGAATAAATCACACAGCATTGAATGGTACGTCATGTCATGGGGAAAAGTAACAGTGACAAGTGTAGGAACTGTGGAGTTAAAGAACATGTGGAACATCTATAAAGCTGAAAGAGAAAAGCTAAAGGATAACGTTTTAGAGGCAGAGAGGGAATGGAGTGTGGTTGGTATTTTGGGAACAAAAGGAGAGGGAGAAAGAGCTACCAGAAAGGCACTGTTTACCTTTAGTGAAACTGGGGTAGGTAAAATTATCTAACATTAGGTCAAGAAAGATCATAGATTGTTGTTTTGTTTTGTTTTATTTATTATGTTTTTTATTTATTTATTTTTGGATTAGATCGTAGATACGTCCATGAGTTAAGAGTTGGAATGATATGATGATTCACACTCATGTACAGTAGGTGGCGGTATGCACCTTAAAGTTGTTTGCAATCCGCCAAAAAACCGAGAGAAGAAGAAGTCAACTGGTTTGCCAACGGACAATTTACACCGAAGAAGAAGAAGCGAACATTTCTGGCGGGTGAAATTTAGAGTATCAGATTACATGCGATGTGTGACTCTGAGAATTTAGTAGTTTGCTTTATAGTCCTTCTCCATTTTCTTCCTCTTCTCGAGTAGTCAGTGTGGTGCTGTTGCTTTGGTCTGGGTCTCTGGATCTGTGAGCTAACCACGCCCCGTTCATTTGCAAATAAGGAATGGAAATGTCTCATCATGAAATACAAGTCACCTGAAATAAATAAATGCGTCATTATGAAATACAAGTCATCTGAAATAAATAAATATGTCATTATGAAATACGAGTCTCTTGAAATAAATAAATGTGTCATTATGAAATACGAGTCTCTTGAAATAAATAAATGTGTCATTATGAAATAAAAGTCTCTTGAAATAAATAAATGTGTATTTAAATGTACATGTATACATATTTATTGCCTCATTTATTTATTTCAGAATGTATTTCATAGGCATATTTATATATATACATATGTATTTATGTATTTATTTAATTTTGGCTTAAATGGCTTCTATTTAGTGTTGGATGATTTGTTGTATTGATTGCTGATGGATGTTAAGATATGTTTTACATTTATAACAAAAAGATTATTGTAATTGGAATCAAAAAGTTTACAAATCGTAGTTTTAATAAAATGACTAGCAATATAGGGTTTATTCAACAGCGGTAAAGCATTAAGTTGCTAAATTAACGTACACTGAACTGTAAAACTTACCACTATTTAGGAAAGGACCTGATCAGAAGGATTGACTAGTAAGACAGCAAAGAGGTGGAGGAGGTTTCTGTACCACCATTGGTAGATGTTACACCTGAAAGAAAGATAAGGAAATAAGACAACACAGGAGGACAAACATCTTCTTAAGTAAAAGACCAAATCATGTGAAGCTTTACATCTTTCAGTCTTTACAATGCACTGTTGGAAATTACCTTCCAAAGGCTAAATTCAAACTCAATACCATAAATAACTGAGTACCAAAGTGCTTTACCTGATAGAACACGTTCCACACGGAGCAGCAACCATCCGGCTGGGCCTTTTGCTGCATATCATCTCCTCCCTCTTCACTGTTTCCAGTAGATCTCTACTGCCTCTGTCAAATACAACTGAAATGCCCCAAAACAATCATATTAAAAAAATTAAAAACAATAACTTGCTTTTGGCATTCATATGTATTAGAATCTCACATTTTTCCTGGATGTCAGGAAGGCCAGGAAGGCGTTCCCTTCAAGTCATAGGACTTCAAATGCAAAGCCTGAACGATGACAAGAGCGAGACTTACATTTTACAAGATAAGTAATACCAGAGCAGTGTTTACGACATGCAGAGAACAGATCAAATCCCCTGACAGGCTCACACACTTTGGTGATGTCCTCATCTGATAATGATGTTTCATTTTTAGCAGCAAAGTAACATTACTCAAGGTATATGTTGGACCCAACTCATGTAGGCTACAGTATGTTTTGCATCTCCTCAACAATGGTCTGTATAGTTGAGTAGAAATAAACTGTCCCTACAGTTTCAGGTAGATTAACAAAGAAAAGTTTGCAATGAAGCACAAAACCCCTCTTTGTATTAAGCTAGCTGCCACAGAAAGTACAGCTTAACATGCTAACCTGGTAGAGTTAGCTAACGTTAGCTAACTTCATGTCCAACTAAAAACCTCTAACGTGCATTACATTGACGATTTTAAACACAACTTAACTCTCTCAACTTGTAAAATAACGTTAATTTAACATACCCTTAAATAACTACATCACGTTTTTCAGGGGCAACACAAACTGCAGAAAACGTTAGCTGCTAACTGTTGTTAGCTAAGACAGCTAGCTCGTAACAATAGCCTCCTAGTAAACTTAAGGTTACGTTAACATTAACTTAACGTTGTAAGAAAGCAAAACGAACCTTCGAGAAATCTTTTACTCTCAGACTGGGTGTAATTGTGTAGCGTTGCTTACCTCCAGAAGGACTTTTATCTGTTTCCCAGTAGAGACTAGAGAGAGCTGTCAGAGCGGTTGCTCGCAGAAGAGCAGCATTGGGCGGACCAGATAAGACCAGAGAATAACCAGTTAAGCACCATAAAATCAAAAGAATGGTTCTTGAACCGGTTTGGTTTATTGGCAGTTTGCAAACCACTTAAGAGTACTGGAGTGTGAAACAAACGCTATTGAGTCAGTGTTGTGGTGCTGTTGCTTTGGTCTGGATCTGTGAGCTAACCACGCCCCGTCATTTGCATATAAGGAATGGAAATGTCTCATCATGAAATACAAGTCATCTGAAATAAATAAATATGTCATTATGAAATACGAGTCTCTTGAAATAAATGTGTCATTATGAAATACAAGTCTCTTGAAATAAATAAATGTGTCATTATGAAATACAAGTCTCTTGAAATAAATAAATGTGTATTTAAATGTACATGAATACATATTTATTGCCTCATTTATTTATTTCAGAATTTATTTCATAGGCATATTTATATATATATATATATGTATTTATTTAATTATTTATGTATTTATTTATTTAATTTTGGCTTGAATGGCATTCCATAGTATTCGTAATATGTGTGTGTTAAATGATGTCACTCATATAATGTTAATGCAGGTTTTGCTTTGCCTTCAATGTAGCCTAGAAAAGCAAATGGCACTAAAGGATGAGTGACGCTTTGCTTAATCTCCATAACGCAGAGAAGGAAGACTGCACATCCATGCTTAACAAGCTTCTTACAACTTTTGTGCATGTACTAGTCAGTGATGCTAACGTAACGGGAAGGCAAGTTAATTTATTATTTATATGGTGAACTTAAAATATATGATAACGTGACAGTCTGTAACATGCCCATGAAAAAATATAAATAAAAGGCTGGCTAAAGCTAACGTTTGGAGTTGGTGACTATGTATTCTTAGCTATAGCTTAACGATTTATTAAATAATATTGCAAAAGTAACGTTGACACATTCACTGCACATCTGGTCCTCAGACGGAGTGCCCAGAATCTGCTCTGCTGCTCCGACTGAGCTCTAATCTGCATATCCGAGCGGCACGTTCCAACCTCTTTATAAACAGTCTATGGTAGGCCTACCCACCGTAACAACAGCGCTCTGCATTCACCAACGGTCCAGTCCAAAATATTCAACTTTTTCTAAAATGTTGCAACAAATTTGCGCAGTTTACAGCATTCACACGCATTTTCAGCAGGAAAAGCATTGTTCTTTTTCAAATCGACCTTTTTTAGTTTATTATAGAAAGCGTTTGAGGCCAGCCGTTTGTGACGAGACAAAACGCATACAAAAATAAAATGCATTTTTCTTACATGACTTTATTTTTTTTTAAAAAGATGGTTTTAGCTATAAAAAAAATAATCATGACGCTAAATAAAACATTGAGATCACATTAAGACTACATCATCGTGTTCCATGGCGACAGATCGCCTAACATTGAACTTTACCAACTCATATCATGTGGTGGAAACTCCATAGAATCCATCGGTACCACTTTACAATAAGACTACCCTTATAAAGGATTCATAAATGGTTTATAATTAGGTTATGAATTAGGTTGTAAACACTTTATTAATCATTAAGAACCATTTATAAACCAGTTCTAACATAGTTTTCATACATCAACACAGGCTCACTATTTGGCAAGATGACTAAGCCTTATATTGGCTAGCTAGCGAGAATCAACTCAGTGAACAACAGATACCAAGGAAGCTGGCTGATGAAGAAGACGAAGTAAGCTAGGTAGCCAATAGAAGGCTTAGCAGTACAGATAAAAGTGGGCTCACTATTTGGCAAGCAACCAGTCACAGTTGCCCTGTTTATCTCATGTCTTATAAAAGCTTATTAATGATTTATAAAGTGTTCACAACCTAATTAATAAATGAATTACAAACTATTCGTAAACCCTTTATAAGGGTAGTCTTATTGTAAAGTGGTACCCACAGTTCTTACTATTTCAACAAAACTCAATATTTGATCAAATCCAAACTATTCCATCTAGGTGGCACGTGGCTGAAAGCTTCATAAAAAAGAAGAAAGTGATGTCAACTTACATCTCTTTTAAATGTATAGCTTAATTTAAGTTTAATAAGAACACTGACAGCATGCAGGAATGTAATCTAATGATGCTTTTGTGTTATGTTGTTACTTTTGTCTTTCAGTAAAGCTTAGAAAAAGGTAAACCAGAACCATGAACAAAGAAAAAACTATTCAACAACTTCCAGAAGAGGGATGTGTTGACGATAAGCATTCAGTTAGCAGATGTAATTCAAACCATAGATATACCATTATGACACTGCGGTAATACTGTAGCTCGAGTATCAGAGTCTCTAAACCTTCAACATGCTACTGTAAAACCTCATCTCTTTGCTTTAGTCTCAGATTTCCTAAATCAATTGGTCAAAGCCTTTCGAGGCCCCGGTGGCCTGAAGCCAAAAGAAACAGCAGAGAGTCGAACCCTTCCACTTCCACCAGCGCTGCTGAGGCTGGGACTGCTGTGGTTGGTTTCACAGTTGGGGCTCTACCAGCAGCACTAATGTGGTAATAACATCTGTAACATCTGGGAAACATCAGAGTGAGAGCGGAGCTTGTAACAGACAAATAATCCTGAGTCCAGCCGCTGATATGCCTCAGATTCCCATCACACCAGTAGCAGCCTACGGAGGAAAATAAAAACTGCTATCCCCTTAAACAAACTATTACCAGAATATGAACACATTTATCACAGCACAGTTAAGCCAAAATAACAGAATAAAAAGTGTGGAGTCAGATTTGGCCACTTGGTCTTGAGTTGGACACATGTTCTCTAAAAACGGGTCTAGAACCTTCCAGGCCTGCTCAGCCTCCTGCCTCTCCTCCCAGGAGAGTGATGACAGCTGCTCAGCCCCTACCTCTCTACCAGGGAGGACTTAAGCTATAAACTCAAGCATTGCAGTACCAAAGCTGTTGGTTGGTTACAGGTGAAGGCGAGATTAAGCTAGCGTAAGCATGTATGTGTGCATCACATGCTAAAGTGTCAAGTCCTTTGTAGTATCTTGTGCAAACACTAGCACAGGACTCTCCATGATGACCTTACACCGACAGTCATACTCTTTCTGCGTCTCACTTTAACTAAATTATACTACTCCTGTTCGGACTAATTCTGACAAATAACTGAAACACTATTTATGTATTTGATATGTACTATGTATTATGTTTTTTGCCATTATTATTCACCTGGTTTTTGTTCTTGTAACTTTAAAACAGACCTGGTTTGGGCAACATTAATTGTGTCAATCAATTAGTAAACTGCCCAGATAAATGGTGTCTTTCTTTGAACAATGGACTGTAGATAGTTGTTTCCAAAGAACAATGAGCTGTACAACTTACCAGTTGTTGTAAAGGACCTGTGAACTGTTCGTCCTATGTTTTTCCCTAAGGTCTGTGGCAGGAAACCAGACATTATGACAAATAAGGGGGGATGTTCAGACCTCACACCATAGCATTTGAGCAATGGAAGACAATTTGCCTGGATCCTTTACGGCTGTCAAAACCCTCCATCACTTCATGCAACCTGATATTACTTTTTGTACCTAGATTTGAAAATCAGCTCATAAAAAGACAACACAGACATTTAGTTGCTCTTTTTCTCCGCAGCTCCAGTGGCCACAGCGGGTGGATTGCCAGTAACACCCATCTGAAAACGGACCTTTGCTCATCTCACCATCAGATGGCGAATTGATTACGAGGGCAATTGCCTAAAAGATTACTAGTAAGTCGGTGCTGCTGATCCACAGAAACCAAGTTAGCATCCAACTGCTATAATAGTAGGTATACACATATGAAAACATACTGTAGTTCTGAACATTATATTCCGTTTTTGGTTCATCTGTTTCCTGTTTTATTTTTGAAAGTTTTATCTCGCTGTGTCTGCTTTCAATTCCTGTCTTTGTGTGTCTTCCCGCCTGTGTTGATTATCTGTCCTTAAAAGTTCCACATCTGTACATCTTTTGTTGGATTCTTGTCGGTCATAAATCGTTCCATCCGTTTTGTTCCATTCCTTTCTGTTCCGTTCTGCCTTTCTTAGCATGTACCTTCAAAAAAAGGTAGTTTCTGTTAAAAGTATAAGTCTCCTGCTTTTGTATCTACCCTGCTCCGCTTTTTGAGACAAACACATTTCCTTAAATACTACACGCTGGAATGTTTCCTCCATAAATGACCCAGTCTAATCAAATTTATCCATTATCAAAACGGTTGCCAGTTAATTTTCTGTTGAAC